ATATATATATATATATATATATACATACATGCCTGCCTTTAATTAACAGGATAGAGTGAAATGTGGGAGTGAGAGTGGGGGGATGACATGCAGCAAATGGTTGTGAGCCGGGGTCGAACCCGTGATCACTGCAGCGAGGCATCACCTCTGTATATGGGGCGCCAACACTATCCACTACGCTACCGACGCCCCCACCTTGTCATGCTTAATACCTGATATTAATCATTGACAGGCCGCTCATATCAAGTGACTGCACTATGAAATGAAAGTAATAGTTTCCCTGCCTGCCATAGTCACAGTGCACCTGTACATCTACACACAATAAGCTCCAGCAGAGTCTTACATCATAGTGTTTACGCTGTGTTTCTGTGGAAACTCTGTAGTTTCACTCCTGAGCCTATCTCTCCTTTCTGTTTTCAGTCCCCAGCCAGGGGTGAGCCTGGGTGAGCTGAGAGTCTGAGCGTCTGATCAGATCTTTTGTTTTCTCTCACACAATGAGCCTCTTTTCTCTTACTCACTGTTTGGCCCTGCATCAAATCTGTGACCCAATAAATTAACAATCATACATTTGTCCTCTGTCATTTTGGAACGTCCAGTCACTTCACCCTCCCCCCACACTCCTCTAGCCATTGTTCATCCATTCACCATGTTTAGACAAGTTCACAGATGCCTGAGTTAGTAATGGCTTGTTGTGATAACTGGGCTAAATGTTGGCTCAAGCAGTGCATGCTGTGGCTTACTGACTGATTTTAGATAGAAGATTAATCTTCATAGTCTTCTCTTGTTATGCTTGAAATCACCCAAATTTCTAGGGCTGCAACAAATGTATTTTTTCTTTTCTTTTTTTTCTTTTTTTTTTTTTTTTTTTACATTTGAGGCTACTATTGAGATTTTTGTAATGAAGTTCGGATGTCTGTTAAATTACTTGGACAAAATCCTCAATTTGAATAAATTGATTTGTCTGATTAAATTAGTTAGTCTGAGTGTGCTATCTCAAAAATACCCAAAAGGAATTTCTTCAAATTTGGCACAAACGTCCACTTGGACTTAATGATGAATTTATTCAATTTTGGTGGTCAGAGGTCAAAGTCATTGTGACCTCACTATTGTTGTTGGCCATATCTTAAGAATTCATATGCTTATTATTGAAAAAATCATACAACTTCACTGTGACATCATAATATTCTACAAAAACACTTTTCTGGCCATTAGTCAATATCATATCTCAGGAAGAGAAGGGATGACATTTGGTCAGATACTGAATTGGTGACACTAATCTTGGGTGTCACCTTGAAACTGTGCTGCCGGTGGGAAGATGTGTGTGAAGCATCTCCACATTTTATCCAAACAAACACAAAAAAACTCACTTAATACCTTTTATTAAATTCCTTCACTACATATGTTATATGAGCCTGGACAGACACTGATGTAAACTGCAACTTGACTGTTGGTTGAGATGTGCAACCACAAGGCAGTGATTCAACTTTAATAAATCAACTTTCTTTAATGAATAAATATAATTGATGGTGCTGTTAGGTTGCTGCTAGACCGCCCTGTTCATACAGCTGCATACTTCCTTTTGTGTACTGCAAGCGGGACAGCAAACAATGTTTTGACCAAAGTAAAAAATATTGTTGTTGAAAGGCTAAAAGCCAACAAGTTAAAGTCATTACAAGCAGTGTTTTTATTTTTTTCAAAACATTTTGACTTTTGGACTTTACAACACTCAAGAGTAATTGGAAATGTTTGGATCGCATTAGTAAATTTAACAATTTGACGCACCATTGGAGTCAAATTCTACAAATAGTATAATACTAATAATGTTTGTGGAGCTTAATCTTTATCTGCAACTATGCAGTAATACATGGTTTTAAACAGAATGACTAGATGTGCGACAAAACCTGTGCAGCATTCGAATGTCGATTCAAAATCCAGATGCAGATGTTATGAATGAAGCTTTGAAGTATTCAGTACAGTGCTACAAATTTTACAGTATGAACATCTCTATAATGTCCTTATTGTTAGTGATAGCATACAACAGTGATTTTTCAGTAGTTGTTATTTGAAACAGACAAGTGGTGTTTGGAGAGCTGTTCAGTGCCATCCAATGTGTCGAAGTGAAGCTCAAGGACGTGTTTGAGAGGAAAGATGGCTCAGTGTTGGATTTTATAACTGATTGTGCCCTCTATGCTCAGATGGATGCATTTGTACTTTTAATTTCAGTAATCACTGCAGCTCTAGTTCTTACCTTTCTCCTCTCCACTCTCTTCCATCTTTCTTTTCCTCCGTTTTCAGTGCAACCCGCCTATTGAGGTCAACGACCTTTTCCGGGACATACAGGATGGACACATCCTCATGGCCCTGCTGGAGGAGCTCTCTGGCTGCAAGCTGGTCAGACTCTCACACTGTTTTTAGTGCTAGATAAGTGTACAGTGATGTGTGTAACACTCGTATTAGAAGCTCCTGTAGCAGTTCTGGTATTAAGAGGAGGTGTGTCAGTTGGCGGTTTTTATACTGTTCCATTATACTTTTCTCATTCTGAATGATCTTCCAGCTTCATGGGTTCAAGAAGTCCTCCCATCGTATTTTCAGACTCAACAACATCGCCAAGGTCCTGTCTTTCCTGGAGGAGAGAAACGTGAGTACCACAGCAGGTAGCAGGAGTACTTACTGCTTGTTAAATGGTTCAGCTGTTAGCTCATACATCCATGTGTCCCCAGGTAAAGCTTGTCAGCATCGATGCAGCTGATGTGGCTGATGGAAACTCCTCCATCATCTTGGGACTCATCTGGAACATAATCCTCTTCTTCCAGGTAATCTTATTTTCCCTGCCATTTTTTTGATTTATCCTCTTATTTAATACCTCTTCATCCAGTCTCATTTGTACTTTAAGTTTCCATTTTCCTTCCTTTCCTTTGCCTCTCTTTTCACTAAAAATTAGGTCAAGAGTAAGAATACAGTGTCTACTTCACAGCCTTTGGACTTTCCATTCACAAAAGCCCATCAAAGTGCAGCTCACTGGGTAGTTTATGTAATCCACACTGCACTTCAATGCCTTGGACAGACACCATGAGGAAACAATTATCTGTGCAGTTCACACAGACTGGCCTCTCATTCTGGAGCCATTCGACTGTATGAAGCTGTAGACACTGCCAGGTCTGAGCTGGGATGAATGGCAATAATGTGCAAGATACACTGATCCTCTCTGATGGCCTGACAGAGATTTGGGCTTGAAACAGCTTAAAGGAACTGATGGGTAGTGTTCTGAAAAATGAAATCATCCCAGTTAGACCTAACCAGAACTAATAGCTACTGTAAGCCTTTATCAGTTAACCCCAACAGTTCAGCAGTTCTCCAGGTTTAACTTCAGCTTCAACACACTCTCACTCCGAACTCGTCACATATCGACGTTTAGCCGTGAACTTTCCACATCCACGTATGACATGCAAAGTACCTTGGGTGTGTTGGACGATGATGTTCTGGGACGCCTTGTCAAATTCAGCCTGTTACATGCATTGTGTGTTTTCAAAGTACACTTCTGTTTTCACAGGAAATGTACAATTTGCATACAGTCTCTTTCAGAATAAATGCACTACACCAGTACAACACTGCGAATTGGCGTTTTTTTTTTTTCCTTTAACAACAAATGCGCGTGGTTACATTTTGCCAACACTGGCACGTGGTTGGGTTTGGGCAACAAAAGTACGTGGTTGGGTTTAGCAAAAAAGAACAGGGTTTGGCTTTACAATCTTAACACCAGCCTCCTAGGTGAAAGTTGGTGGTTGTTGGACCCATCCACCACAACTCCCACCCACCCTAATTAGACTTCCGCTGCCTTAACTTTAGTTGTTGTCCCGCCACGTTTCCTTCTGACACGCTGGCTGCTGTTAAACAGTAATAGCATCTTGTGGTGCATCATGCTGATGTGAAAGGACATCTTTTTTTGTCAATGTCTGACACTGAAGGTCACTAACCAAGCGGCGAATTTCGATGACTTCACAGTGAGTTGGGTTGTCAGCTGTGCCATTTACTCTCTCAGCTTCAAAACTGATTGCTTGTTTTGCCCATGAATATCAAAAAAATGCGACCATTAGGGCTTGGTAGCGTTAAAAAAAATCTATTTCAACTCTGTTGGTATCAACAATAGAGTTGTAGAAAAAAAGGTATCAAATAAAATACTCTGGTATCAAATAAAATACTCTGTTGATATCGATATCAATACCAACAGAGTATTTTATTCGATACCTTTTTTTCTACTTCATTCAATACCTATCGTGTGAGTGGAAGAGTTCACTTGCAAACAAATGCCACTAGACGCCACAAGCCTGTGGTAAAGCCATACTTGGATGTTTTGGTGGTATCTTGGCACTCTGAACTGCCAAATCCGTCAAATACACCACAACCACAACTTCACCACACCACATGCTGTATGGGTTGTAGCTGCTGGGGAGTGGGTCAATCATACGTTACATTAAATTAAAGAATGCTTACAGTGATTGGCAGTGAGCAAAACCACACAAATAGTCTTTTTTGTCTAGATCGAGGTACAAAAAGGATCAAATACAGGTATCGTGTGACTTTACGAGTTTTTATAGTACTTGTTACTGGGTTATTTCAGTTGATACCCTAAAGGTATTGGGTACCAATACTCAGCCCCAGTGACCAAGGTTCAATGTTCAAGGTTCAAGGTATCTTTATTATCCCTGAAGGGGAAATTTGTGTCACAGCCAGCAGTTAAAACAAAGACAACAATTATCACAACAAATAAGTAAACAACCGTAAAAGAACACACAAGCATATTTAGCAGCCATTTAAGAGGCTGATAGCAGCAGGGATAAATGATTTTTTTGAACCGATTTATTCTGCATCAGGGGAGATTATATCTGCGCCCTGATGGTAGCAGCACGAAATTGTCCCTTAGTGGATGGCTTGGGTCGGCCAGGATACATTTAGCTTTTTTCATGCACCTGACATTATACAGATCATGGAGGTCATTTAAGGGTGTTCCAGCAATTTTGCTGCACACCTTCACAATGCCTTGCAGGCTATTTTTTTTGTTTAAAAACAAAAGCGACCCGTGCCAGCAGATAAAACAGAACGTAAGAACAGATTCAATAAAACAGGAATAAAGCATTTTTATAAATGATATCATGCTTTAGCCGTGGAAGTGCATTCTTCCATTTTCTCCGTATCCGCAAGCTTTCAGAAAACATCCACAAATGCCGACAACATAAATGCAGACTATGGACAGAAGCCTCCATCTGACCCTGTATCTAACATTGAGCACAGATGAGCCCTGAACCTAACTTGTAGTGTTTTATATGTCCAAGCTCCAAAAACACAGAATTTCACATTTACCATAAAATTTCAGTTTTGTCAGACCTCAGATCCTTGTGTTTCAAAGCTTATGTCTGCTGCAAGTCAGTTGGGGGAAAACGTTTTTTCCTGCACTGGACCTTTAACAAGTTAGATCTTAGTATGTTTTAACAATATTGATTGATGCTTCCATACCATCAGCTGGCAGTGCCATGCCCACCCTCTTTGAGTGGAAGAACTGACTCGTACATACCCTGTGGTTGAATGTGACCTCTTGTATGGCTCTTGCATCTGTTCAGGTTTCTGGTTACATTAAGGTACCTGTTTAACACTATTGCTAAGCTGTAATCTTTTGAGGTAGATGGTCTATCCAGGCAAACTGCTACAGGCTGATGAATCTACCAACGTCTTTTGTACATTCAGTCATTTCCCTGTCTTTCTTATTCTATTGTCTGTATTTGAATAATAGTTTGAATAAATAAGATATCATGCGGGGTGGAGGTAGGCCTTCAGAGCTTTGATATTGCATAAAAATACAAAAGAAGAAACAAGAAGTGGTCTTGTTTCCCCTTCAATCACAGGAAAAGCATTTTCACTTCCAATAAATGTGTAAATGTGCTCTTAACATTTTAAGCCTGTTCAGTCTTAAACACTTGATATGTAATGATATAAAGGTCTTGCATGTTAACAAGCACATGAAAGTACATCATTTTAGCCAACCAGTTCGTGATACATGTTTGTTGTCCAGGCGTTCAGTTTCAGACTTCAAGTCTGACAACATCAAGGGTGATTTTCTCAGTCTTTAGAAAGCTCCTCCGGACCCATACAAGACATTACACAACTGTTTTCACAGGCTGAGTAGGACTAACCATGATGAGTAAACGGATCCATCTCTAAGGCCCAACAACTGGTTCAGCACTGAACAGATCCTCTGAGTGCTTTAAAGGCTTTGATTCTGACGTAACTCTGTTAGTCGGCTGTTGAACTGATAACATTGTGTATCATGGGTTGCCATAGTTACCATGATGTAATAAATCCTGTTACCAACTGGACCTTATACTGTTTGTTGTGTTTTCACAGAATCTTAAGCCAGAACAGATTCTACTTTATACTTTAGATAGTTTCCAAAGTTGGTCTTACATTCTGTTTTACTTTTCTGGGCCAATCCCACACTTTCAGTATTGAGAGTTTTGTGCATAGCAAGATAAAACTGCTGGAGAGACATGTATATGAATTGGATACCCAGTGGCTCAACTGACAGTTGAAAACAGCTGACTAAAGGGACCATAAACCAACTCTTTGTCTCCTTCCAGATTAAGGAGCTCACTGGGAACATCAGGAGCCAGTTCCCATCCTGCTCCAGCCTATCATCCATCCCTACTAGCTCTGACTCTGACACCTCCTACTGCAACACCCCTTTAGATGAAAGACAGTCGGCATCCACGGCCATGCGAGAACACGGCAAGGCCATTAAGAAACTACTGCAGTGGGTACAGAAGCGAACACGCAAGTGAGTGTGGTCTGCCAGTTTGAAAAAAGATTGTTGAATTAAATCTTACAAATCTAAAAAGTGTAACAAGTTCTTAGTATTCTGTTTTTCTTGTGTGTGAGTGTACGGTACATAACAATGGACTGCAATAATTAAAAAATAAAAAATAATTTACTGGCTCCATTGGACTGTACTTTCAGTGTGCCTCTAATACCCCTTTTCCACCAACATGAAACCGATTTTGTTCTGGTTCCTGCATCAGTCAGAGCATTTTGACCAAATATCGATTGGTTCAGAACCTGAAAAGTTGGTTCTCAGCTGGAACCAAAAAATGCAGGTTTTTCTGGACCTCAAGTGTGAACTGTGATGATAACAGTGGGCATGCCACATTCTACCAGTTAGAAAGAGAGGATGGAGAGGGCAATAATGGAGAAGCCATGTGAGAAATTGTCAGACAAAAAAGGGCGCACAGTGGTCTCATTAATAGTTCATGCTTTTTTTGGTGAGTAAAAACAAATATCTGTAGTAACAGAACAAAAGTTAGCAGGTTATCAATGTAATTGCATTGTGCAACACCCTTCGTTGATAACATTATCTTTATTTACAATGGTTCTGTGCAAAACTGGTGGAAACACGGGCTGGTTCACTACATGGCAACAAGGTTCCAAGAATCCTGCATGGAACCGCATCAAGAACCAGAGCTAATTTGGACGAAGAAGAATTTCTTTTGTCATCTTTCTAGACAGACCCTGACCATTGAATATGTCCCATTCTAGGTATGGTGTGGCAGTGCAGGACTTTGGGAAGAGCTGGACAAGTGGTCTGGCCTTCCTTGCTGTCATTAAGTCCATTGACCCCAGCCTGGTGGACATGAGGAAGGCACTGCTGAGGACTGCCAAGGAGAATTTGGAGGACGCCTTTAGGATAGCCCACTACAGCCTGGGTATCCCACGCCTACTGGAGCCTGAGGGTAACAAGGAAATAGATATTTTTACAGATCATTTTGTACCAGGCTGCAAACATGTTTATTTTTGCTGTAAAGTCCAGCATTTTATCATGGGGATTGACTCACTTTTGTAGCCAGCCTCAAGAGGCCTTTCAAGGATTTGCAGTTGGCTTGAAATGGCTTGCATTAGACATCTGCTTAAAAATATAAAAAGGCAAAACCAGATGTGCATTTTACACAAAGGTGACACATGGTTTTATTCAGACATGTATGCATAAAAATGCCAGCACTTTTATGTTTAAGAGTGAGCCATATCTGCAAGGAGAAAGCCAAATTAACACGGGTGTCTTTTTGTAAAATGCAACTGTAGTATTTGTTCTTTATCTTCCCATGCCCAGATGTGACCATCAATGCACCAGATGAGCAATCCATAATGACTTATGTGTCACAGTTCCTGGAGCACTTTCCTGGCATAGAGGAGGTAAGAATGATTTCTTGCATGGAGGATGTGTCTGACATTAGATTTAGGCAAAACACAAATCTCAGAATGTGACCACAAATAGATTTCTGCCAACTTCTTTGTTTGTTTTCTAGCCAGGGGAGCCCTGCCAGCTGATTGAACGAAGTATCTCCATGGGCCGACTCAACTTCCGAGACAGTGACTCCAACCACATAAGAAATGGCGCTCACCGAGGCAGGGTGAAGGAGAGGTCCTACATGTTCCAGAGAGCCTCTGGCCACCCCCCACCCAAAATCTTAATTTCCTCTGTGTCGGAAGACAGGAGCGCCATGTCACCCCGAGTCAGGCCGGCCGCAAAACGCTCGTGGTCCAGTGAGGACTTCTTAGCAGATTCCCCCCACATGGAAGACATTTCCAGTAGTGTGGCTGAAGAGCCCAAAGACTCTGCCAATGAGGTGCTAGCCAGCTCAGCCTCCACCTCCCCACAGCTGTCTTACACTAACTTGCCCACAGGCTCATCAGCGCCCGAGTCTGTAAACACTGAGTCACTAATTGGCGACTCAGCAATCAGCTCACCGGACTCCTGGGTGGACAGTGACTTTGGGGGGATGCCAGAGAAGTTTTGCGAAAGCCGAAGTGACAGTTCTTTGTGTGACAGTGGAACAGCCTGGGATGTGTATCGTGCCACCCCTGTGGAGGTCACAGCTTTTGATGAAGGGTTTGTTCCATCCACAGAGGATAGAGCCTCTGATGAGCAGTCGATTACTGAGTCATATATTGATGAAGGGATTTACTCACTGAGCTCACTGGAGAGCACCCAGGAAAGAATCCAAGGGCATTCTGAGAAAAAGCAAGTGGAAGTAGTAAAAGAGAAAGAGACAAACCTCGAGAAGAGCAACCAGGACATAGATCTAGAAAAGGCACCTGATCAAAGCAAAGCTAAGAATACAAAAGAAGTAGACTCTAAACAAAAGGATACAAGTCAGAGCAGAAAGCCAGAGCCTTCTGTAGGACTGTGTGATGCAAAAGATCAGACCAACTCTGGTGTTGAAAATCTCCTTGAAGCTGACAAATCTAACCAATCCCAACCCAATGGAACCAGTGTTGAAGAGAGCACTTACAAAGAACCGGAAGGTTTAAAGAAAGCTGTGGACTTAATTGGGGATGCACAGGACCACGAAGGAAATAATAATGGTCAAACTGAAAGTCAGAACAAGAGAAATAACACTGAGTTTAAAGTGGAAACTGAATGTCAGAAAAAACATTCTTTGTCAGGGGACAGAAGAGGGGAGTCAAGAGAGGAGTCAGAGATTTTAAAGAAAAAGGGTGAATGTGCTGTCGAAAAGAAAGATGAAGCAAGTGAAGGAGTTCTAAGAGACGACCTAGATCATCAAGAAAGCTTTAGTTCAGAGACATTAGCAAACACACATCCAAACAACCAAGACAGAGTTTCAAAAACAAATCTGGACCCGAGCACAGGCATAAATATTCCTCTGATCTCTATTTCCAGTGAGCCAGAAAAGCAGGACAGAGAGGGGTTGTGTGACCCAGAAAGACATGCCCATGCTGGGGATGATGAGGTACATCAGGCAGTGGGAACTGACACAGATGTCAGCAGCCCTCAAAACCTACATGAAGTGAGCTGTGACTCCAATGACAATGTTGACAAAACCTCTGTTGAGATTTCTTCCTGCTTGGTATCAGAAAATGTTGAACCGACAGCGTCAGAAAAAATAAGCGGCATAGAAAGTGGACATTTAGATGAACATGGTATCAGCAGATCATCAAATGCAGACATATGTGGGCCAGACAGAAGCGATAACATGGAAATAAATGAAGCCAAACAGGAACGTAAGTCTGCTCACCACGACTCTCAGACAAGTAACACTGGGACGGACTTGCCTCCTCAGACTTCTTCTGCAGATGCTAAATCTCAACCTGTCAATACTGAGCAGGAAACAGACTCAAATGATCAACCAGATGGACACCTGGACAAACTGGGTGGCACCTTTTCTGACAACTCGAAACCCAATGGTACAACAGGGATTTTATGTAGAATGTCTAGAGACATGGACTTGTTTTATACAGACTTTGATCAGAATTCTGCCTCAGAGGATCTAGTTGGTGACCCTGTTGAACCCATGGATCTGTTCTACCCTGACAAAGAGGAGCCCATGTTTGCAGAGCCACCTGATACTGAAATGCAGAGTTGGCCTTCAGTTTTGAGTGTATCTGCTCTCCAGCCAGCACCAGCTTCAGAGATTCAACCTGACCAACCACTCATCCTCTTGGATGAAGACTTCAGGAACGGACTGAATTCAAATGACAAGGTAAATGTGAGTTTATTGAGCAGTGCCTCAGAATAATCAAACCATTTCAGTTTCCAATCAGCTTTGTAACAATTCTCAATTTAGTTTCTGTGTAGTTTTTGGCTATTTATAGGTGAGTTTTTGTGCTGTGCTAGGCTTTAGGGATGGCATGTTGGTTGGTCAGTCGGACGTTCCACCATTGTGAACCAGACTGGAATTTCTTACCTATATGGTAAGCAGGGCTTAAAGTACTGCGTGGCGCGGCTTGACAGACATTTCTAGTATTTTTTTTTTTTTTTTTTTTTTGGCAACAACTTGGCATAATTTAGCATTTAACGAATCATCTTCTGATTTTCAGCGAAGCACATGGGTTCCACCAATAGTATAGTGTTACCAAACTCAGCTGGCCAATAAGAGCTGAGTGGGGAGGGTCTAAAAAACAGCATACACACACACACACACACACACACACACACACACTCGGACAGGATTTCAACACACACTACTTCCAAGCACATGTTGTTTAGGTGTCCATCACAGCCTGATATCCAAATGAGTGTGGGTGAATGTGCAACAGAAATGGACAATTGAACTGCGTTTGAATGATTAGTTTGTGTTAGCTTGACCACCAGCTATCGGACACTGATACCCCGTTTACATGTAGGAAAAACGCACATATTTTCATGCGGTTTGGCCTCTTGTTTACACGCAAATGGAGTTTTTTTCACGGAAAACGATCATTTGTAAAAACTCCAGCCAAAGTGGAGATTTCTGAAAACGCCGTTTATGTGTTGCCGTCTAAACTGGGTGAAACGGGGTTTTAGGTTCTGAAACGTCACAGCATGCGCCAGCAAATGCTTGACGTCATTTGAGCGACCTATGTTTACACTTTGTTTGGCTACTGATCATGGATGCTGTTAAGGTGGTACTCATTTTTACGTTTGTGCAAACGCTTTGTTACGGCCTTTTTCCACCAGATGCGTATCTGTTGCGTCTCCGCTCCGGCACGGCAGCGGAGCCGATAGGATTCAATTCTAGTCAATGTGTGTGTTTCCACCGGCTGCGGCTGTGCTACGTTCCAGCTCCGTCTCAGCTCCGGCACTCCAGAGCAACAGACACGCAGCACTTCTATTTTTGCCTGACGCTGGAGCACAACGCAGCAATTCAACACAGAGCAGATCGTGCGGGGCAGGAAGTCGTGCACACAAACAAAATAAAACATCTGGTTAATTTTCAAAATAAAATACACAGTGTTCACGGCGGATCATATTTCCCTGCACTACACCTTGAAAACTACATAATGGGCAGAGACAGGCCTGAAGTCAACAGTTCAGAGGTTTTCAGACGTCATTTCACCCCGTGAACACCATAGACAAGGAGATATTAATCATGGCAGTGCACCGAGATGTCTTCTGGCGGAGCTGCACCGCTCCGCACAGCAAACGCAGCCGGTGGGTATTGACGGACGGCGGAGCACGCAGCGGATAACCAGCGCTGCCGTTCCGCAACGGACACACATCCAGTGGAAATCCGGCGTTTAAAGCGACATTTAGGAGTAGCTCCACTCGACACAAACGAACCTCTCGCCATGTTTATTGTTTTGAAAGGAACAGGAAGTCGCGCGTCTTATTCGTTGTTGTTGTTGTTGTTGATCTTCTTCTTCTTCTTCTGTTTGGTTTTACGGCGGTTGGCAACCAACTTACTGGAGCATTACCGCCACCCTCTGGACTGGAGTGTGAACAGGCGAGTAACAGGAAACAAAATAAAAAAAAAAAACAAAACAAACAAAAAAAAAAACCATTTAAATCCTTCGTTCCAGCCCTGTCTCTCTTAAAAATACCAATACCCTTCCATACATCTTGGATGATTCATTGAGGATGCTCTCTAAGGAAAAACATACTCTTGCTTGCTTTGCTGCCTCCTTTATTTTCTTCCTCTCCTCCTCATATGCTGGACACAACAATAACACATGTTCTACAGATTCCAATTCCCCACAACACTCACACTTTCCTGTTTGATGCTTGCCTATCATATTCAACGTCTTGTTTAGTCCTGTATGCCCTATTCTCAACCGAGTAATAATCGCCTCTTCTCTCCTCCTCCTACTGACTCTCCTCCCACCGCTCACCTGTTTTTGGATGTTGTACAGATGCCTACCTGTGTCTAAAAAATCCCACACCTCCTGCCATGTTATATGCATATGGTTCTTAATTATACTTTTTGCCTCCAATTTGCTCAACGCCACATCTAGTTGTATATACTGCGACTTGAGAGCCTGTTTTGCCAATGCATCGGCGCCCTCATTACCATCCACACCCATATGTGCTGGGACCCAGATGAAGCTGACCTGAATATCCTCCCGGTCTAGTTCATAAATAATACTGTATATTCTGCAAAGAATGTCTTGTCTGCAGGACTTCCCAGATTTGATGCTGGCCAGTGCTGCCATACTATCTGATGCCACCACAGAGCTCCGGCGCCCATTCGTTTTAACCCATTCCAAACTAACCATGATGGCTATCAGCTCTGTGGTGTACACTGCCAGTTCGTCTGTAGTCCTCTTTTTAATAGTGACCCTCTCCTCTGGGATATAAACCGCAGCGCCCGTTCGCCCAGTTTTGGGATCCTTGGACCCATCAGTAAACACCATTACTTTATTTACACATTTCCTCTCCAGATACCTCTGCACTACAAATGGCACGGACACCTGCCTCGGCCTCTTTTCAATTTCCCCCTGCAATCTCATATCCACCTCCGTTGGAACGACCGACCAGGGTGGGAATGTATATGTGCCCCTAAGACAGTACTGGATATTTTGCAGGCCTGCACTCTTTGCCCTGTTGTTGCATACCCACCCAAAACTCATAAAATTTGATTTTGTGTGTTCTGCACAGTCAAGCAAGACCGCCTTTCCTGGATGCATATCATTATGTCCTTGCAGACTGACCCAGTACGATAGCATTAACTTAATCCTTCTGAGACGCAGAGGCATCTCACCCATCTCTACCTGTACTGCAGCTGTTGGAGAGGTTCTGAAGGCTCCACAGCATATTCTTAAGGCCATGGCTTGTTCCACCTCCAGCTTCCTCAGGTGACACTCAGCAGCAGACATGTACGCTAAACACCCATAATCCAGTGCTGCCCTCATAAGAGCCCAGTAGATGTTGCGTAAGGCTGTTCTGGACGCCCCCCAGTCCTGCCCTGAGAGACATCTCAGCAGATTATTTATCTTTTTACATTTTGTTTTGACTTTCCCTATATGCTGACCCCACGTCAGTTTTTCATCAAACCAGACGCCAAGGAATCGGACTACGCTTACTTGTTCTAGGATCTGATCATACAGTTTTAGTGATACTGGCTTATGCCTCTTAGAGAAGCATATTACCTGAGTCTTGGCCACTGACATCTTGAAGCCCCACTTATTTGCCCACTGTTCCACCGCCTGGATTGCTTTTTGCATTTTCCCTTGCATGTATGCCAAATTCCGGCCTCTGACCCAGAGGGCCCCGTCATCTGCATAAAGGGACTTCCCTATGCTCCGATCAACCTGCGCAAACACATCATTAATCATAATATTAAACAATATAGGGCTACAGACACTGCCCTGTGGGGTTCCATTCTCCACTGGGTACATCCTGGAGTGATATTCCTTTACCTTAACCTCCACCACTCTTCCCTGAAAAAAGTCCATAATCCAATTGAACATCCTGCCCTCTATACCCATCGCCTCCAGTTTTATCAGCAAACCTTCTTTCCATAACATATCATACGCTTTTTCAATATCAAACATAGCTGCGATAACCATTTCTTTGTTTGTCTGAGCCTTTCTAATTTCTGACTCCAAACACAAAATAGAGTCCATAGTATTCCTCCCTTTGCGAAAACCACTCTGATATGGAGAGAACAACTCTCTGCTTTCCATTATATAACTCAGTCTCTCCGTTACCATCCTCTCCATTGTCTTCCCTAAGTGAGATGTTAACGCTATGGGCCTATAACTAGATGCCTCTGAGGGATCTTTCCCTGGTTTTAATATAGGCACAATAACAGACTCTTTCCAGGCTTTTGGAATTCTGCCCTCAACCCATATCAGATTGAACAGCTTCAGCACCACCATCAGCGAGGCATCATCCATATGCACCAGCATGCTATAACATACACTATCTTTCCCTGGAGCAGATTGTCTGGCACTTGAGATGGCTTTCTTTAGTTCAAACAAACTAAACTTACTGTCTGAGCTGTCAGCTGTTGCTACCTTCCTCACCATAACGTTAGGATTACTCGCTAGTGTTGATTCTCTCTGTTGCTTTGCTAAATCTGACAGGTTCTCTGAACTGTGCACTTTCACCAGAGTTTGGGCCAGCAACTCTGCTTTCTCAGCACTACTTACTGCTACTGCTCCATCACCCTGAAGTACTGGAATCTCATGATACCCACGAATGCCATTCATTCTTCTTATCATTCCCCAAATATCTGGTAACTTGGTCTCTCTACCTATACTGCCACAATACTTTCTCCAGTATGCCCTTTTTGCTGTTCTTATTGTTCTCCTAACTCCTGCCTGGGCCCGTTTATACTGTATTAACGTCTCCATCGAGTGGAGTGTCTTCAGACGCCTGAATGCTCTATTTCTCTCCTTTACCGCCTCCCCACAGCTCTCATCCCACCATGGAACAGCCCTTCTCTTCCTACTCCCACCACACTTTGGGATTGTCTCCTCTGCTGACTGTATGATTGCTGTTACAAGCTCCGCATTAAATTTGTCCACATCCTCCATACTTTCTCTGGATATTTCCCCACACCTGGCCTTACATACCTTCTGAAACTCATCCCAGTTAGCGCTACCAAATTTCCATCGCCGAACACCTCCCACTTCTTCCTGTCCCAGTTTCATTCCTACTCGAATCATTATCGGATAATGATCACTGCCCACTGTTACTATGTTGAGCACCTCCCATTCTGTGACACTTGCTAGCTCAGGTGAGACTAACGTTAAATCAGTTGCACTTTCTGTGTTCCTT